CAACCTTGCTGGCACAGGAGAACTACATCAAATTGACAGCAATGTCGAGGTTACAATTGGGTAAAAGCTGAACAAGACAAGGACATAGTCGTCAGTAATCAGCTGGAATCGATTGCGAAGACCATGTCAACCATAAAACCAGTGTGGTCGATATGATCGTCAGTGTGTCGTCTGAACGTACTGTTTTCTCTAGTTTTTCTTAAGTACTGATTTTCTTGGGCAACCCTATCCAGCTTGCCCCCCCCCCTTTCCCACGATTTTTGATCGCTATAAAAGGAGCCCTGGTAGGAAATCTTCTGAGTTTGTCCCGAGTACAAACAAACACGCCTAGATGTTCAAAGGATGGACATTCAAAATTTTCTTTAGGTACCACAGATCAGTTAGGATTCCCACTGAGTCCACCGGCTCCGACTTCATTCTGGATTTGGTTCTATTTGAGCGTTTTCTGCAATTTGTTATGCCTTGGACTCAACACCGTCTTCAGTGCTGTCAGTATAATAGAAAGACATCGAACGTTTAGGGTAAGCTTAGTGTCGTTAAATCCATTCTCATTTACTTTGCCATGTTCGTAAGTAGTTCTAATTCAGAACTGCTTCTATACAATAGTACTTGCATTCTCGCTGAGCGTGGTGGTGGGCAGTCTTTGCAACCTCGTCTATCAGATCCTTAGCCTCGCCGGTGTGCAATCAAAAGGCTTTGAGATATTCTCCATCTCTATGGATCTGGTTGTTTCGTTTTACTCCGCTCTGCTGGTGTTCTTTCTTGGGGCTTAATCGCTTTGCTGCTTTCTCATCGACGATCCTCCGTGAGCGCCTTATGGAGAAGTAGGTTCGAGAAAGCTTTAAATCTGTGAATCGTTCTCAGTTTATGCATTCAGAAAGGTTGTCCTTTGTGTTCTACTGGGACTTCTTGTGTTCTCTTCAGTAATTGCTGTGCTGGTATTGGAAATGAGTGCAATGCGAAGGGTTTCCCATCAAAATACCATCTATGCCGACAAGTACATTTTGGTCAAGGGAAGTTCACGCAGCTTAAAAAAATTAGCTCTTTAAATTTACCAAG